TGGTTACTACACTAGTCTGATTTTGGGTCCAATTTGAAATGCTGATTTGGACTCAAACATGTTAATGCAAGCTTTCTTAGGCCTCGCTTCTTACCTGTCAATATCTGAACAATATGTGATCAGAGTAGGGAAGCTGATCTCTAATTCCCACATCTAAGTTCTGAATCCACACACCCAAAAAAGGAAGGAACCACCTGCTCTCTCTGCTACCCTTTTTAACATAGTGTTATGTTACACTTTTTTGTTCCACCAGTGTTTGATTCTATTTAAAACATTTTGCCATTTTTTCCTCCAATAGAAACAGAAAACTAAAAACACAAGGATTAAAAATAAAACAGCAAGTACAGTAAAAAGAAGAGCGCATCCACCAAAATAATTCAATTAAAATATTCTCCAATAGAATTTAGTGTACTTTAGCCCTAAAAGCATTCCTAAAAGAGACAGCTTTCACTTCATGGCAGGCCATTATCAAAGGCACAATACAGTTGACCCTCGGAAGAGAATACCCAAAACTAAGTAGTAATTAAAAAGCCCATCTCTCCAGTCTTACCAAAACATATTTCATATTCATAATACACAGCACAGCTGTGGTGTTGGTAAGCAGCAAGCATGGAGTGGCTAAATTTTAATCTTGTGACTATTTAATACTGTAATGTGGTTTCTGTTACAGTAACTGATACTGTTCATACATTTTATTGGTACTAAGCTACTTTGAGCATTTTTCTCATAGTAAAACTTTAATTACAAAAAATTAATGAACAACTCTGTAACATACCCAACCAACAGACAAAAGCAAAATCCCACCCTTACTCACAGTCCTTCCTATCTGGAGTCCTTATTTCTTCTACTTGCCTTAACACAGTTAATGGCAATTTTATTCAACAAGATTTGAAATCATTTTAAAATCACAGTTAAAATTTGATACACTGAGAATACTGAACTCCCCTTACCACAGTGAACAACAGCTCTACCAAGGCAATACTTAAGGCAAGTAGCAAAATGCACACTTCTAGGAACAGGAGAGTGCAGTCTCATGGACTGATCCCAACTATGTAAGGAAATGGGGATCCCAAGTCTAAATAAACTTGAAACTGAATTAAGACAGAACTAGATAGAACAAATTAGTATAAACATAAAAGAAATCAGAATCTTTAAGTGAATAAATAACAAGCTACACCACAATCCTCAAACAGGATGGGAAAGAAATTCAACAAGGGCAACTCTCTTACTGTTCATCTGAAGAACAGTGAACCAAATGAACATTTGATACCATACAGTACTACAAATAAAACAGAATCTGCCAATTCAACAGGAATTACTTTCAAGCAATGATATAAAGTATCAATTAAAGTTTTACAGGATCATATGTTTTCTTATTTTAATGTCTCACTATATTAGAAATATATAAACAAGCATCATTTATTTTGCTTTTATTTTCATTGGTCAAAATCCTGTTGCTTAGCACAGTAAACTGCACTAGAGACGGCCTACTGAATCAATGAGGATTTGGTAGGTCAACTCCTCAGTAAATTCTGCTGATTCAAATAGGCCTACTCTGACTGTGGCTTATTGATACATTTGAATCAATGGAACTTATAGAGGAGTTGACTCACAAAATCCCCACAGATTCAATGGGACTATTCTAGTACAATTTACTAAACTCAGCAACAGTATTTTGGCCCATGACATTTTACAGTATTTACATTTCATTATCACTTAAACCATTGCATCAATGTTTTACTGTAATTTCACTTGTCTACATGAAGTCATATTCTACTACCCAGCAATGCATATTCAGCATGAACAATAAATAAAGGGCAAATACTGAGAACAAGTGAAATGAAATGTCAACATGCATGATTCATCTGCTCTCCTTTTTTCTTGTGCTAATTTGAAAGATCATAGTACTCTAATAGATCAATTTCTCTATGGGTTAGTGCTCATACAATGCCCTTGTTGTGAAGAATTAATGCCTTAAATATGTCCAGACCCAGAACTTGAATAGTACTATTGAACTAAACATTCACAATCAGAACTTGGAGCATATGTGCATTTTGCACTTCACCCTTCAAGAAAGATATGTTACTTTTAAACAATTTTTTCTAAAGTTTCAAGTTCTTGGTGATAAGTTTGAGAAAGGCACAAGCTGAGTAGCACTTGAAACAGTATTTTCAATATATAACTTAACAAACAACCTGAATTTTTCAAAAAATATGGAAGGCCAGACTATTTCTTTTATATAAAAACAAGGTTACAGAAAATGTACCGTACTTGCTAAGCTTTAAAAAGAAAAGCTCTATAACTGCAATTGTCTGTCACACAGCAAACAAAAATCCAAATAAATGTATCTGAATGTGCTTTCTCCAAACAGCTTACACAACTTTGCTATTTCCTCTTTCACCACAGATATTTTACTTATAGTTGTGAGCGTTATGGTCATAGGAAATTGACAAAATATGTATTAAGTTTCTTCCCTCAGCCTGGTTTTGGGAAAGGGGACACAACACAGTCATGTTTGCACTGCATGTTTGAAGTAGGATGTTCTTTAAAAAAACACAATTAGCTAAAAAGAAACAGAAAGGTACAGTAAAGGGCCAAAATTTCTATTTTAAGTATGGAAATTTAAAAAATCACTACAACTAAGGTTGAGTTCAAATATATACCATAGACAATCAAAAAGGGCAATAAACTCCAAAGGTTGGCAACATGATTAAAAACACATTTCAATAAGTTTTATTCATAAGTAATAATGAATGACTGTATTGAGTTTAATTAGGGTTACTATCAAAGTGCACAATGAATTGGCCTCTTACTATCATCACCTGGAAGTAAGACAAAAAAAAAATGTCATTTCCTAATGAAAAAAAGATTAAGAGTGTAAACCCAAATATGAATTAATTATAAATCAAGCTGCAAGAGCGGGGGATTTGTGGAGGAAACTACTAAAGCTATCAAAACTCCCTTTAATAGATGCTAATTCACATATAAATTTCAGAATTTCAATGGGATTTACTTCCAAACATATATACTTAGGATTCAGCCTTACTGTATCTGTAATACAGTCATCATCATTTAAAGACAATTGGTTGACCATACAGTTCTAAGATTTAAAAAAATTACCATTTTGCCTTAAAAATAATTTTACTAAAACAGCACTGCTTTCACTTTACCAGATCAAGTCACCATCAAGCTAATAACAGACACAGCACTCATACTGATTCAGATTCCATATAAGAAAATAAGTTACTCAATTCTTCTCACTCCACATTATTAATTTTTATACTGCTGGAAAGGCAAATATAGTCTATAAACTGCATACCTGGTACTGACCGAATTAATGCAGCTTGGTGTTTTTCTGACCATTCCTAATGAAATGGGCATGATAATAAGGCTACCCATTTTTAAGCCAACCCCTGTGAATAAGTGGGCTCCATAAACAAGAATGAATTCAGATTAAAATATTCATTGCTTCTTAATGTAACTGCTACTCCACCAAAAATAATGAAAAGACCTTTCCTCCACTGTCTGGGAGATCTGCAATCCCTATACCATTAGGTTTATGATGTCTAAGAAGAACTTTCCCCAGCTCTCTTATCAAAATGTCCTAAGGGTCCCATGTACAAAACAACTTCAAAATTGGTCAAAAATTCAGTCGTATCCGACCTCCATGTTTACTTATCCTACACCAATACCCCTCTCATGTTCTTAAGTTCTGCTCCAGGACCAAGAAAAGTTTATCATAATCTTTGGCTGAAATCCAGTAGTAACTAGAGTAAACCCATTGAATCAGTTGAATGTATGGAGGAGTTGACTCACCAAAACCCCACAGATTCAATGACCTACTCTCACTATGACTTACTCCTGGATTTCAGTCTTTGCATAATTATTTTTTCATATTCTCCCAATGTGACTATCAACATTCTAACCCAAGAGCATTCATTATACCTACAGTGGCACATCTTGGGAACTTTCTGCTCCCCGCTCCCAATTCATACACAAACTAGCAATAATAGAATGCAGCCACCACCCTACACCATAGTAATGTGCCTCAACTCTAATACACACACGCACACACATATACACACATACAGATACAGGATGAGGATGTTCTTCCATATGCATCACTTCTGCAACATTTACATAACTATTATCCAAAAGTAATGTAGTGTATTACCAACTCCTGAATGAATACAGAATACAAAGCCTCTATTTCTTTGTCCCACTAGAAACCAAAAACCTTTCCTCTTTGAGACATACTGTGGTGATCCATTCCACCAACTCAAATAATAACATACTGTGAACATATGACCAGTGGAACCAATTACCTCCCTCCCTATGAATATGGGAAGGGCAAACTAGAATCATATATGATACTAACACCCTATGATAATATTCACTTATACTCCCAAATACACAACAACATATCTTGTCCAAAGAGTACACAAACAGGTTTTGGTCCTAATCCATGAATACACAGTGGCATGTACCTCCTACCTCAAGCCACTCTAGGATGAATAAAATATGGGCCATCAAATGTTCTCCACAAATAAGGAACTGTGTGCATGGATTCTACTGTGAAAACATCAGATAGAAGTGACTGAATAAAGGAATCACAGTGAGGATGGTGTATGGGTGTGTGCCTGTTCTACACGTTCACACAAACGCACAGGGCTAATGTATAAACAAATCAACCTTAAACCTTTTCTATATACATAGCAGAGGATCTATGTAGCCGGACACAGCGTAACCACAGACAGGCAACCACCCCTTGAAGCAGAGTGAGCCTCCTTCCCTATCGAGGTTACACTGATAAGGCAACGGGGGGGGGGAGTGGGGGTGAAGAGCACGATGACAGAATCCATCCCTTTTTCTCCCACCCACCCCCCACATAGGTTCGAGAGGCACACCCAATCAGCGCCCCCTCCCTCCCTCCTTCCCTCCCTCCCAGGCGCGGCGCCCGCCGGGCTGAGCCCCACTGAGGCGATTTTCTCCTCACTCACCTACTCGGGGCGTCGAGGTCCGTGCAGGCTCCCCTTCGGGGCGCGGCCACTTCGGCTTCTCCCTCTTCCCTTCCTCAGCCCTGGAGTCGGCGGGGGGGGAGGGGCTGCACGGCAGAGGTGGGGGAGCCTTTCCTGTTACCCTTGCCACATCCCGACGGCGACGAGGAAGAGGAGGAGGAGGAGCAGCTCGCTCCTGCTTTCCTTCCTCCTTCCTCCTCAAGAGACAGCCAAGCTGGGGGCGATGCTGACGGGGGACCGTGGAGCTGCTGGGGGCGATGATGGCGGCGGCTACTGCCGCTGCCCGCACACCCAGCCCCCCCTTTTTTCCCGCTCGTTGTCTTTCTCCTGCCTTCAGTCCACCGCTCTTTTCCTCACAAAACAATTCCCCACAGCAGGCGAGAGAGAACGAAGGACGTGCGCGCACGCGCCGCCCTCCCTTTCACGCGCGGCGCTTGTCTTTCTCCTGCCTTCAGTCCACCGCTCTTTTCCTCACAAAACAATTCCCCACAGCAGGCGAGAGAGAACGAAGGACGTGCGCGCACGCGCCGCCCTCCCTTTCACGCGCGGCGCCGCAAAAGAGTGAA